ACTGACGTTCTGGAACCGTTCTTTGTCTAGAACCCAGCCGCCGCCTCAGCTCCCGGTGGGTCCCAGTCACAAACTCGCCAACAACTATTACTGCAGCCGGGACGGACGCCGAGAGTCTCTCCCGCCCATCGTGGTCGCGGCAGCACAGAAAACCCTTGCTGCGGGGGCTCAAGCTGGCAGGTAGGGCTGACCTGGTCAGTCCCACAGCTCTGCTGTTGTCGCTATTTGAGCTGAGCAGGTTTAAGCCTCGTTTGACTTATGCCAGAAATGCAGAACTCTTCTAATAAGCAGTATTATATTTCCCAGGTTGGTAGGAGAATGCTGAACTAATTATTTGTGTCTGTATTGTGTCTTGAATAAGTGGGGTGTCTGGAAGTTAACTTAACCTGACCTGGTCAGTCCCACAGCTCTGCTGTTGTCGCTATTTGAGCTGAGCAGGTTTAAGCCTCGTTTGACTTATGCCAGAAATGCAGAACTCTTCTAATAAGCAGTATTATATTTCCCAGGTTGGTAGGAGAATGCTGAACTAATTATTTGTGTCTGTATTGTGTCTTGAATAAGTGGGGTGTCTGGAAGTTAACTTAACCAAACCTCTATAGCACTAATAAAACCTGTTCTCATTAAATTCAAGTCTGGTTTTCATGGTGTTGGTAAAGCCTCTTCTTCTACCCCAGTTCAGGCTCTGCAGTGACAACAGCTGAGAAAAAACCGGTGACACCAGGACCAGTACTTAAGAAGTGGGAAATTTCAAAAGACCAGCCCTATTTATGAAAAATAAATATGATGAGGGTGGATGTGCAGGTCACAGTTCATTACAAAGAAGCAATGGGGAAGCCTGCAGTGGATTTTGCTACAGCAGGAACTTGTCCTAGTGCTGCCGATGTGTGACTAATGAATATGTTTAAAGTTGTGGTTATTGCCCTTCTTCCCATTTCATCTGTTTTATTTGATTTGTCCAAATTACTATTCTTTACTACTGTTTCTTGAGGGAATAGCAACAATAGGATGTACATTTGAGCTTAGGCTCAGTGGATTTGTAAGCTAACTGTGATCCTACTTCAAGGAGAGACCCAAAAATACACCTGAGATACGACTTAAGGACAGAGCTGAATAAAACACACCCTAGCCAAAAAGGACCCGATGTTCTAGTCTCTGATTTTGCAGTAAGAGACATGAATGAAGTAGCCTGCGGCACTCTTCCCACAAGCGCCCGTTACCGTGGTCAGCCCGCCACACGGCAGCTACGTGCTGAGCTGAGCACCATGGTCCAGTCCCTCCCCAAAGACAACTGGTCACGCTGCGGTGACCTGGCGATTGCAGTGAGCTGCACTGGTCACTCCTCGGTGAACTGCTAGAGGGCCCGCCTGTTCCCCTGGAGCTGCTGGAGGACGTGGGAGGAGTGCCCGCAGTTCCACGGAACCTCTGCGCGGTCAGCTGCCCGCCGGCCGCGGTGTTACCCCACCGCCTGGAGGGGAAAGTTGGAAAAGTCACAGAGCAACGCAGGCGCGGCTGCGGCGGCCGAGGCCCAAGCGAGCTGGGAGCTCGCTCTCGGCCAACCACGCTACTGGAGCGGGGTC